ATATTGATAATCCGACCATTGTTACTGATTTCCCACAACGAACTTTGTTTGAAATTGCTTTTCAGTTCTATTCAATGCTGAAGTTAACGAACCTTAACTTCAACCGCGAAAAGTTGTTTTTATATTTGCAAGTATAATGCCAAGAAGCTTATCAACTATTATCAAACATTGAAATTCGTCAAGTGCACATGCTCAGCGGTACGAAGTAGATACTCGGAACCAGAGCTACTCGGTCAATTTGTCCCAAAAATCATCCCACATTTCAGTGTGAATGAGACGATAACCAGACCGTTCATTGCAGAGGTAAAAAGAAGACAGCTGTAGGGACATTCAGTTGTCCCTGCTGGGAAGCAAAGGTTTCCTTTGCCTTCCGTTCCTCATGAATAACATGAGGGACGATTAGTCTAATCGTCCCTCATGTTATTATGCATGAGGGACGATTACTGGTAATCGTCCCTCATGTTATTATGCATGAGGGACGATTACTAGTAATCGTCCCTCATGCCATTCATGAGGGAGGGATGTTCGCTTGTAAACATCCCTCGGAAGACAAAAGAATCCGAGGTGATCATGGTATTATCACCAGTAAACTTATAAAAACCAACCAATCACAGTCAAAAGTCACCGAAAAAACTGTCACGCCTACGCTATCCATGTCACACCTAAGGCGCCTCTCACCACGTAAGGGTCTAATTTTGTTTAGTGTTGGCCTGCTTCGACGAGTTCTCTTCGGTTTTTCGTCATGAAAAACTCTGCCAACATTTGTCTTGTGCTACTTCTTACGTGTTTGGTTCCAGTTCGAGCAGAAGGTAAGTGAAATGGCTATGAGTGAAAATGTGCTGACTTTCGACTTTGTATTCACCGCGATGGATGGTGTCTTTTAAAAATGAGAACTCGGCTTTTTTATAAGATAATACTATACTTCACTCTTTAAAGTACATGGTCATTGAAAGTTTTCAGTATTTATCGAAGTTCCCTTTGCTAAAGATGAAATCTTGAACAGAACCTCGACAAAAGCGACAATGCTCACCAGATATGCTGATATATGTTCCTTCGGTAATTCATTTGGCGTTGAATCGCAGAAATGATAAAAAGTTACATAAAACTAATTTGGAAACCACATTTAAGAACCCAATTGGAAATTGAAATTGTAACGCGTGCTTGGCCGCATTTTTCTAGCTCTGTATATATTTGTAATTTTAGTTTAAATTTTTAAGTGTTATGGCTTCCTACTATCATCAAAATGTTTATAGCGTTCCTCGGCGCAAGTAGCCCCGCTATACACCCTTTTAATAAGTCCCGAGGTATTGTGTTTTCCGCACTTGACGTCAAATTTATTCTTTTGAATTCCTTTTGTATTGTAAAAATTTCAAAAGAATAAATTTTTGAAATACAAAAGGAATTCAAAAGAATAAATTTGACGTCAAGTGCGGAGAACGTAATACCTCGAGATTTATTAAAAGGGTGTATAGAGGTAAAAGAGCTGGTCTTCGGGCTAGGGAAAGAGCAGAGAGATTCCACTACTCCATTAAGGTGCATCAAACCAACCGTATCAACAACTCTCGACGTCGTTCGTTGCGCCACCGAATAAAGTCCAACTGTGTTTACGTCTCAAAAATAGAACAGCAGGAAAAACATTAACAAGCCACAAGCTCGTTTTTATTGCGAAAGAGGGGAATTGAAATCCTCTCTATCTACATATTTGTGGCGGATTAAGAATAGGCGAGGTGTTATACTTATCACAGTTTTATGACTAGTGTGCCCAAGTATCGAATATATTATAAGTTTTCCTGATACATTGTTTTTTCAATTCATTTTGTTTTGAATAGCAATATCAATAACATTAATATCAAAAATCAAAATAATCATATGGAGTCTTGATCTGCCAGTTTTCATTTCGTTTGAAAATTTGCGAAATTCCCCGCCTCAACATAGCTGTGCTTAGAACTACTTAAGTTAGACGTAGATAGCAGTTACGATGATAAAAAGAAACAGTAGTGCAGGTTCGGATTTACAGTAACAGTATTTTTTAAACATTTGTGTTGCTTATTGATAATCGTTAACCGATGACGAAGCTTGACCTTGAGTTGCAAACACTAAGGGCTATCACATTTCTAGTATTCATGATCGAGCTCGAAAATACACTATATATATTCTTTTCACAAACGCTGAGCACGATGTCTAAATAAACTACTTTTTATGCGAAGTACTATCTAGTAGCAAAACTTTTATAACGCACCGATTGTTTAAAACGTTGGCTTGAGCATCGATAATAAGTCACATTCACATGACCTAATGACATGATTTGACCTCGACTGTTATAAACACCTAAGCATTTACATTTCCGATTTTCATGATCAAGCTCAAAAACATTCTAATATAAACAAGCTCTGTTCACGATGTCAAAAGTAACTTTTTACGTGGAGTGCTAGGTTTGCAGTAAATGAACTTTTAGAACTCATCCACTAACTCATGACCTCTAAATAGTTGTCATCCCCTCTGCGGTATTCACACTTTCTTAAGAATACATTGCAACCACAAGTAGCTTTACTATGGCAACACTGGTCTCAAGCTGATCGCAATAAAAACGAGCTTGCGGCTTGTTTTTACGTCCCATCTGTTTTGATGTCGAACACAATGTCCTTGGCTCCCAAACTGGACGAAGTCGCCAATATTATCATAAATTCAAATTTGGACATTGCTTGTATTACTGAGACCTGGTTGAGCGATCACATTCACGACAACGTGATTAGCATTCCTGGTTATAACTTGGCTAGACGAGACAGAAAAGACGCACCACACGGAGGAGTTCGCACCTATATAAAGGAAGATTTGAACTATACCATTCTAGAAGATCTCTATGATGAGCAAATCGAAGCAATTTGGATTAAACTTCGTCCTTCACGACTCCCCAGGGGTTTGTCCTGCATAATTGTGGCTACTGTTTACCATCCATCAAACTGACAAAGGCGTTTCTGACTCTGAAATCCTACRCTATCTTTATAATTCAATGTCTACTATCAATCACGATTTTCGAACGTTTAAAAACGCCTTTAAGCTGAAACAGATCGTCAAATTCCCTAAACGTGGAAACCAAACACTAGACCTCGTTATAACAAACATTAAACATCTCTACRAGGAACCGATCCAGCGCCCAGCCTTTAATTTGTCAGACCATTTATCAGTTGAACTCCAACCGTTATCTCGCAGCAAAAGTCTTCCAACCAAACGAACAATTATCACGAGAGACAAGCGGGAAAGTCAAAAGGCTGCCCTGAGCTCTTACCTGGAACAGGTTAACATCTCTGATATGKTAAATAGCAAAACGTCCTCTGAAGATAAAGTTCAAATTTTGGAAGAGRTTATCACCTTTGGTATGAATGAGATCTTGCCTTTGAAAGAGAAAACGATAGCGGCAAACGAAGCACCATGGATGAATAAYTCTCTTAAGCGACTCATTCGACATCGTCAAATTGCTCTGAAAAATGGAAATTTGAAGGAGTATAATGAGCTAAGAAATAAAGTGAACAGAGAAAGGAAAGCGTGCCGAGCAAAATACTATGAAGCAAAAGTAAAAGATCTTAAGAACTGTAAGCCTGCCCARTGGTGGAAAGAAATTAAACAACTTAGCGGTTTTTCTAAAGTAGGAAACACAAACCCTACCACTAACCTTCAACACCTTGCTGAGGAAGGAGAAGACCCTACGCTTTTAGCTAATGTAATTAACAACAGTTTATTATCGCCAATGAGTGTATTCACCCCGCTGGACACGCCTGTTCTGAATACATCTACGAACTCGCACCTTGAAGACTCTCCTCGTCCCGTGTCTGAACTCTCAGTCATCGAGAAATTATCGTCTCTCAAACCAAACAAAGCGTCTGGTCCAGATGGAATCCCTGCCTGGGTATTAAGAGACAACGCAGACATTTTAGCGGCACCTGTAACCGATATCTTGAACACCTCTTTCCGTGAGCGTCGCGTTCCAAGTTCTTGGAAGTCAGCTGACATTACACCTCTCCCAAAAACATCTCCTGTAACGGATGTCAACAAACACCTGAGACCCATCTCTTTGACACCAATCTTTTCTAAAGTCGGGGAGGAGTTCATTATTGATGGCTATATCAAACCTGCCATTTTAGCAAAAATCGACAAGAACCAATATGGAACTATCCCTAACTCTAACACCACGCTTGCCCTAATTAGCATGCTACACAGCTGGTACAAAGATACGGATGGTAATGGATCGACAGTGCGTGTAGTGCTATTCGACTTTAAGAAARCATTCGATMTCATCGATCACTCCATYCYCATGACCAAGCTTCAGGMTTACGACTTATCACCTTGGGTGCTGGATTGGATTGCTGGTTTCCTGACAGATAGGAAACAGCSGGTAAAGCTTTCCCAYGACTGCTTTTCGGAGTGGGGTTCAGTCAAAGCTGGTGTACCACAAGGGACGAAATTGGGACSTTGGGTCTTTTTAGTCATGATCAATGACATTGATGTCAGCAGTGTCAACCTCTGGAAGTACGTAGATGATACTTCGATCGCTGAGACAGTGTACAAAGGCCAACCAAGTGAAATCCAAGTTGCTGTAGATGACCTGGTTGAGCAAGCTGAAGCAGATAAAGCTAGATAAGTTTCAGTTGAATGAATCCAAGTGTAAAGAGTTACAAATACATTTCTGAGACAGTGTACAAAGGCCAACCAAGTGAAATCCAAGTTGCTGTAGATGACCTGGTTGAGCAAGCTGAAGCAGATAAAGCTAGATAAGTTTCAGTTGAATGAATCCAAGTGTAAAGAGTTACAAATACATTTCTCGAGACACGAAAACACCCTGGAACCAGTTACTATTAACAACAAACCAATTGAGGTCGTACCTAGTGCAAAACGTAGACCTTACAATTTCAAACAATCTTAAGTGGAATGCCCATATTGAGAACGTCACCAAAAAATGTGCATCCAGGCTCTACCAATTAAGACAGCTTAAATGTGCTAACGCCAATCCTGACCAACTGATGTGTTTCTACAAAACCTGTATCAGACCTGTAACAGAATATGCGTGTCAGACTTTCCATGATGGTCTTCCTCGCTACCTCTCTGAAGTGCTAAAAACAATTCAGACGAGCTCTTAAGATAATCTCACACACCCTGAACTATGAGCAAGCTCTTAATGACCACAGCATGACGACCCTTCACCAACGGCGCAAAGACCTGTCAGAGCATCTCTTCAAAGAAATTAATGATGACAGTAACCATAAGCTGTATAGCCTACTACCACCACGCAAGTCCACCAACATAGCCCTGAGGAGCAGGCGAACATTTAACACACCAATTGGTCGGACAAATAGATTTAAACAAAGTTTTATTATATTCAATAGTATAAACCATTTTTCAAACTTTTAATCATATGCAATATATTTATATCTTAGCTTTTTAAGTAATTCAATTTGTCAATCCTTAACATTTCATACATCATTATATATATTTATTGTCTATTTTTGTAATTGTCCGTTATCCAGCTTTATGGCTGCAAAGGATTTTAATAAAGCTATCTATCTATCTTTCCAAGTCATGTTCTTGATAATAACAACAGTTATTTTAAGGGTTAATTCGAGCGAGAGAATTTGTACTTCCGGTATTCTCAGAATTGACTCGCCAGGGCACAGGCAACCCAAGCAGAGCATTTGATTCCATTTTTTTTAATATAAAATACATTTTACCTTAATCTCATGTGTTGCTGATGTTATTTAACGTTGCTGTGTATGATTTTGAAGGTATTTAGAGCTATTTTTTAAGACGCCTTTTAGTCTTTAATTATGACTGATGGAACACCTAGAGAACCTAGAGAACACCTATTGTACCAAATACGGCTGATAATACGCAGACATGGCGGCAGCTGTTATAGTTAGCAAACCACGCCATGTGCCGAACGTAACTGCTTTATTCAAAACGAGGCTATTACGTCATACAACATCTCCTCTTCGAGTTGAATGTGGGTTTAGCTAAAGTTACATAATAAAGATGTATTGATTACATTAACATGAACAACTTCTTGCTGAACTAACAAAAATCCCTAATAGTAAAGCATGTCAGGGTGTTGATTCGGCTTAACATGTCTGCTTGAACGACGGAAGAGATCGTCCGTAGTGGGAGACGCGACAAATGGAGGTAATTGCTCTTGCGATGAAGTTGTAGGTTCTTGGTTGCTGAAGGTACTCGCTGTGGTAGCAAGAACTTGGCTGTTGCTGGTACTTGCTGTGTTTCCCTCATCCGCCGCTAATGTTTTCTCCCCGATGTGAATCAGTGAACATCGATTTCGCCTGATTCTACTACCAGTCTCCGTAAGTAGGTTGTATGATCTCGGGTTGTTGTGTTTCCCTAGTATCTCTCCGTATTTCTGTTGGTCACGTATGTAGACTCTGTCTCCTTCTTCAAGGGCTGGAAGAGATACGACTTTGTAGTGGTTGTTGTAGTTGTTTGCGTACCTTTCTCGATAGCCTTCCTCTTTTCTCTCTGCTTCCTTGCGGTTTACTTCGGTAAGCTCTAGAACCTCCGGTATAGCTGGCAGTCGTGTACGAAGCCTTCTGCTCATGAGAAGTTCTGCAGGTGAAAGTCCGTTCTGCAAAGGAGCAGTTCGGTATGCTAACAGTCCAAGGTGCGGGTTAGCATTCATTCTACCTCACCGTTGGCTTGAGGGTAGGTCGGAGAAGAGTTAAGGTGCTGGAATCCCCAGTCTTTGGCGAATTCCTCGAACTCCTGGCAGGCATATTGTGGCCCGTTGTCTGTGACCACGGTGTCTGGGATGCCGTGTGTTGCAATCTGCTATTGTAGTCAACTACTACAATATACGTCTTCCTATCTAGTTCGAACAGGTCTGTGCCAAGGTGTGTTCATGGCCTGCTAGGGTATGACAGTGGTATGAGGGTCTCGTTCCTTTCAGGGCGTAGTCTTGAGCAGACATGGCACCGGTTGACCATGGACTCTATCTGTTTGGTGAATAGGGGCCACCAGACAGAGTAACTGGCGCGACCTTGGCATTTAGTGATACCGAGGTGGCCTTCGTGAATAGCATCCAACATTCCAAGCTGAAGTGATTGTGGGATCACAATCCTATTGTTGTACATTAACAGTCCTTTCGTTACGGTAAGGTGCTGTTTGTTCTGCCAGTACGGCTTCAAGAGTGGTTGAGAGGGCATGATATCAGGTCATCTCTCTTGCTCCCTTTACCTGGGAGCATACTGCGTCACTGTCATGTGCTGTCTTGATTTCGCTGAGGCGTTGTTCAGTCGCTGGGAGAGATTGGACTGTGGCTTCAGCAAGTTCCTCTACTTCTTGGATGAACTTTATGTCTTCCGGACCAGGCTCGCTTGTTGACGCTCTTGACAGGGCGTCTGCCGTGTTCTGGTTTATTCATTGGACATACTTAACCTCTGGAGCATACCTGGCCATCCGTAGTCGAAACCGTAGGATTCTTGGAGGCAGCTTAGAGAGATCGGTACTAGAAAGAAGTGGGACAAGTGGTCGATGGTCGGTCTCCAACTTGAACTCGGTACCCAGGATGTAGTCGTTGAGCTTTTCACACGCACAAGTTGCTGCCACAGCCTCCTTTTCAATGACCGCATAGCGTTTTTCGGTATCTTTGAGAGAGCGAGAGGCAAAGGCTATCGGGCGGCGAAGGTCAGAGGCGTCGGTTTGTAGTAAGACGGCCCCTAGACCATCCTGTGATGCGTCTGCAGCGACTGTACTTCGTTTGCTGGGGTCATAGTGGGCTAACACATCGGTTGAGGTCAGCATCTGTTTAATTTGTGTGAATGCCTTCTCTTGTGCTTGATCCCACAGGAACGCGTTGTCCTTTCTTAGTAGTTGACGTAGTGGCTCGTTAACCGTTGCTAACTCTGGGAGGAACTTAGCTAGTTGGTCGACCATACCGCTGAACCTTTGAAGCTCTTTCACGTTGGTAGGTTGTGGGAACTCTCGAACCG